TTTTTTTTTTTTTTTTTTTTTTTTTTTTTTTTTTTTGATAGAAATCCGTGGAATTTCTCTTCTCACGCTGAGCGTTTCGTCGCGTGCGTTCTCTTTGTTTTCAAGAATTCAGTCGTGTACCTTGTTTGGGTCGATTAGCCATTCCATTGGAGACAATTAGGGAATTGCGTTTTAAATGATCTCTTAATTATCGATTAATTAATATTGGTGCTCTATTGCTATTGTCTTTAGCCGCATATAGCTCATTACTATTTTCCATTTATCGTAATTTGCGTCCCCGTATTTATTTCTCCTCGTAACTGGATTAGATAATTGACCATCTTTCAGCGGCATTATTATTATTACTTATGCTAATTCTTTTCTGAGCAATGCACTGTTGCTTGATGCGACTATCCTCGTAATGGTAAGAATGCGAGGAACGAGAAATGCACTTTTGCACCGTCCAGTAATTGTTTTGAAATTGCAGTAAGAGAGTGGCTGGTCACGCTCGCTTCAGATCATTTCGCAGACTGTAATTAACCCTTGATCGTTCGTTTCCAATAGTTTGGAAATAAAAACCTGTCTTGCGTAATAAATGCTGGATAAATGTACACGATAAGCAACAGTGAAAAATAAACGAAACAACGACCATTGATATTGTATCGATCCATAACCGGATGATCATATCAAATTAGTTGATAATTTTATAACCACATTGTTATTCCATTCTTCGCTCATGATGTTTATTCTAAATTAACTCACTCAGTTCATATGTCGATTCAATCAAGTGTTCAATCGTTTTCTTCGAGAGAGAGAGAGAGAGAGAGAGAGAGAGAGAGAGAGAGAGAAAAGAGCAGTGATTAAAATATTCATGAAGCTGCAATTAATATTTTAATTTATGCAAATTCTCTCCATGCTCCAGTTGGATCTATTCGATTTCTAGCACATATATAATTCTCCTATTTGCAATATTGTCTGGATATTTCATCACGGTATGATCCACAAGGTTGATCCGCAAACGATTCTAGGAATTTCTTGCATAGAACGAAGGGAATACCGCTTGTTAATAGCTATCTAATGACTCATTATTGTTGTGCAATGCAATTCGGAAGCCCAAAGATAATGGCGGATTTATCATTCATGTGTCAGAATTCATTTCTTCCTATTGATGAGCTTCGTTTCCTAATTAAAATTATTGTTATTACGTTTTTGACACAATTCCCAGACTTGAGCAATAAAGTCACAGTCGAGCAGTATCTGTAGAAATTGTGAATTATTGTATATAAATCGTAAATTATCTGTTTGTATCAAGATTGTATCATTGAAGTGCAACTGGAGAAAAAAATATAGATTACTGAGTATTGAGTTAGAATTACTGTCTTTTCAACCGAGACTTTATCATTGGTTTCTTTATATGGTTCAGAAATTAAGCACCGTAGAAATTCCTTTTAATTTGAAATAAATTGTTATCCGAGATCTTGTTTGCAGTGAATAATAATGAACTGGTTTTCTATCTCTGCCGCTAGCAGAAAAATCGAGATTACCTGTTACTTTTACTCCCGAAAATAGGGAAATTATTGCAACGATCATTTATTGGAATACGCGTCATCGTCGATTTCTTCATTGCTTATTGTTTTCGCCGTCGATTCGCGAGACTGCGATTGGGTTGCAACGCTGTCACGATTAACGATAGCAACTTTTTTGTCTCGGTAGCCAGAGAGAGATAGCGGTCGATGAGCATTCGTTTAATTCTCGCGAGCAGTATTTAAATAGCAAAATGTTAAGAGAGACGAAATTTATTGATCACGAGGTTGGTGCAAGGTTCGCGATACTAACAAGAGAAATATGTACTTGAAAATATATTGAGTAAGATTCTGCGTATCAGAAAAATACTTTTATTAACCCTTGATCGATGAACAATCCAAGTTGTTCTTCGATTGGATTTTTTCAGCTGACCTTATATAAACTCGAAAATCATATTAATCACACAGCCAAACGGCTAAGCGATCTCTACGATATGTATTTAACAAGAACGATTCTCTGTAAGAGGTCACTGTACCCAGTAAATTCTAATCCATAAAGGATATTTGAAATAAATGGGCGTTACTTAATGATAGTATTTATGGCATAAATTGATCGATTGATTAATGATGGATACATTTGGACTCATTTATTATTTCTCGAAATTTTGCTCTTGCGTTTCGTTCATTGTTTAATAATAGAAAACAGAAATGCAGACAATGTCACTTTGTCCCGAGGGATAAAAATTCTAAAAGCTTCTAAAAGAAGTAGGATCAATTATTCCTCATTTGAATTCATTAAATAGAATTCGTCGATAAATTCTACATCTATTCGAGACTGGTTACGATTAACCATTTATCCAAGATATATCATTTATTATTTAAGTGATAGTATTATAATAAAACGATTCTCGAGATATACCATCAGATCGCGAATCACAGATTCGATCAAGTACGATCTGATTCGAATCGTCGCATTTAACTACTAATACATTTATCGACGTAATTGATACATTGGCAAAATGAGATATTATCGTTTAATTAGATGAGCGATACAAAAGCGTTTAGGCAAATTCCACCTGCGATATCTTTCCTCGATTGAAAATTACAGATAGCCCATATTCAATGGCAGAGGAACGACGACTTCTACTTTTCCATTCGACGTATCTTCTTTTTTTTTCTTTTTTTTTTTATCAGTTTCCTCGTTTCCAACTGTCGTCGGTTACTTGGCTTGAAGGAAAGAATATGCGAGATAAATTGTGTTTTAACGACAGCGAATGCTAAAGTTCTTAACCCCGAACTTATCAGCGCTGTGCAGGGAAAACCGATCACCTATGTCGTGTGTGTGTGTGTATGCACGCGGTAGGTAGAGATTTAGAACAATTTCCTTGATCTATTATATTCAGCCTCTTACATTAGCCTGTATAGACTGTGAATTGTTTCCTTTTGGGAAATTTGAAGGTTACAAAAATTCCGTTTTAGAGGCAAATTTCTGTTCAGAGTTCGATTCCCTCGAATTATCGTTCTGTATAAAAAAGTTCTGTATAAAATTTCACAAACGTTTTTCTACCAAAATTTGGCAAAAATGTAATAATATCTAATAATAATAATAATAACAATAACAACAACAATAATGATAATTCATGCTGCCATTGATAAATCTTGTTAACCCGATTTGCCATAGTTTGTGAATGTTACTGACCTTTTTTTTTTAAGAGTTCTCGGCTATTTTTGTTGCAGATAGCGCTGGTATGCTGAAAATGTTGCTGAGCTTCGCAGTCGGCGGCCTCCTGGGCGACGTTTTCTTGCATCTGCTACCGGAAGCATGGGCAAATGACTCTTTGAACAAAAGTAAAGGAACTTTTCAGAATTGATATAAGAAAAAAAAAAGAAAAAATTATTTAATCGAAAGAAATGAAAAGAGGCTCTCTTAAACGATAATAAACTATCAGCAACTAGTGGCTCGTCCTTGATTGCAATATCGTTCTGCAAAATGGCAACAGAGGCGTCTCGCGATACGTTTGAACATGAGTCACATGAACGAACCTCGAATGAGATTTTTTTCCCTCATCGTTTTCCACTTTTCGAAACTTGAGACTTCTCAATGGTTTTGTAGAATATTGAATTTGAAATGTTCACGTGCATTTTCTGCTACCACTTTCACTTCGAAAGTTTTACGAACTTTCCATTCGTTTTTAATTTTTAAAACGCGTCTGACCATTCTGTAAACTTTTCCAATCGTTCAGAAACTAACCACGCTTCTTAAATTCTTTGAACTTTATCAACAAAACATTAGGTTACAGTGAACTACCTAATCGTAAAGCGCGCTAAAGGTCGTACGTTATTTGAAAACGATTAGAAACTTACGAGGAACGACAGCCTTGAACAACTCAATTCGGCAAGATCCGCAAGTTTATCGAAGAAAAATGTAGGAGAATAGTGTCAAAGGTTTAGGTTAGGTTTCGTCGCCAGATCATAGGTTTCGTAATCGAGGTCGTCAAAGAATCAATCGAGTGACGTAATGTTTGTGTATC